ACTGGCTTGTTTAAAGCAAATGGTATAAATGTATGAATGAGTGATGCCCAGGCTAGGCTTGCAGAAATGCCCTGCCCAGAGCATGTGCGAAAAGAGATGTGAGATGAGCCATTGTTGGCCTCCATTGTTGATTTGTATAGGAGACACACTGGAATTGTGAAGGATGGGAGGAAATAAGTAGATGGCATTGGAAAGGCTGTTGCAAGAAAAAGAAGAGTTGTATACTGATGAAGTTCTGCTCTGTTAAGCCAGTAGTTCCAGTTCTGGGAATTAACCGTTATCTTGGTCCCCAGCTACTAAATGCCAGATGAGTAACCAGATTGTTTCTGTCTTATGACATGATGCTAATTGAGTGTACAAACTTGATTGGACAAAACCTCCTAAGGCTTTTAGTTTTGGGTGATTTAAACATTCAAGTCTTGATGGAGGGGCAAGTGCACATCCTGAATTCATGGTATTCATGTTGATCCTGGGCTTGTCAAACTGCAGCCCCAGAACATGTTGCTAGCATGCAATTAATCTGTTCTTTGCTTTGGAGCAGACATGAAGTGTTAATGAAATACATTAACACTTTCCTTTTGCTGTAAGCAGGTCACATGCTTTTCATACTGTAGATCATGAATGCCCTAGACCAGGGGTCAGCAAACTGTGGCTCTGAAGCCACATGTGGCTCTTTCCTCCCTCTGCTGCAGCTCCGTCACCAGTTGGCACCACAATTTTGAGAGGAGCTTCTGGGGGGGGGAGAAGCACAGTGCGCCTGGAGAAGACTCTATGGCAAGGGGAGGGCTTTCCAGTTGTTTCCACAATTGATAGGGCTTTTGGTTATGACAGGTAGAGGAAAAAGTATACCGCGCTAGGAGGAGACTCTATGGTGGGGGTACTGAACTTCCGGTCAGCTCCAGAATTGAACAGGGGGCTTCCGGTTAAGACCTTTGTGGCTCCCGGTGTTTTCTTTTCTGTGGGAAACGGGTCCAAATGGCTCTTTGAGTGTTTATATTTGCCGACCCCTGCCCTAGACCAAGGGTGTCAAACTCGCAGCTCGCGGGCCAGATATGTCATATGCTGGCCAAGCTCACAATATTTTGTTTAAAATGAAGGAATCACTATTGTTGTTGAATATATGATGTACAATGATAACAATGTATCTATGTATATTTGATGGACAATTTGTGACTTTATATACAATTGAAAATGGTGATGCA